CCCCCCCCCCCCCTTCTTACCCTGGCACAGGGTGCTAGTGCCTCATGTTAGCCCCCCAGTGAGGTCAGTAAGCTGCTCTTCCCTTGTCCCTCTAAGGTCCCTGCATGTCCCCATGGGCTGTCAGAGCCCCGGGGTCTCTGATCTGCCATGAGCTTGCTCAGCTCTCCTATGTCCAGGCCTCAGTTTCCCCTCCTGTAAAGCATTTAGGGTGGGGGGGGGCGTGCATATGCACCCTGAGCATGCCGCAGTTTGTGTCGCTGGCAAAGCCCAAGTGGGGATTGAATCACTGCGCAGATGTGTGCGGTCCGTTGCTCTGCTCCTTGAGCAGCTTGTCGTGCCCGGTGCCCTCGGGCCGGCATGCAGGAGAGGGTCCCTGGCCCAGGGACCAGCAACCCAGGGGGCAAAGTCTGGAGGAGAAGGGCAGGAGTGGAACAAATGGGTCGGCTGGTTGCATCTCGGGAGCCGGCCCAGCCCTCGGTCCGGAGCTCGGCAGGGGCTGGGGCTGGGCCGTGTGCTTGGCTCTCCCGGCTGCCAGCTGCCTGATGAATTTTTTAAAATCTCGGGTTACGAGAAGCAGCTCTTAAGCCTCCCTGGCCTGCCCCTCTGCCCTGCTAAAAGCAGCAGCGTGCGTGTCACAGGATCAGTCTCCTGCGTCTCCGAGGGAGAGCAGAGACAGGGGCTATTTTGTTCCCCTGGCCCCTCCGGGCAGAGGCTGGCTTGACTTTCTGCTCCAGCAAACTATCATGGGACAGGAGAGTTTAAAAAAACAAAACCTGAGTTGAAGCTGCTGCTTCTCACCCCCAAAATCCCTTTAGGGCTTCCCCCCTCCCAGGCTGCTGTCCACAGCAAGTAGCAGCTCGCCTGGGCTGAGCAGTCCCAGGAGGGCAAAGAAATACAGGGGGGGTGCAGGCACGGAGACCTCACCCCTCTGCTGGCATCGGAAACGTTTTTGGCTGGCGAAGCATTTCTGTGCCAGCCGTAGTGCTGTCCCCTGCGGCCTCTCGGCCAGGGATTTCCAAGGATCTGGGATGCTGGAAGCCAACTCGCCTTCCTCTTTGGGCATCGGGGCCAGGTCCCCAGCTGGGCTCAATCACCGGCATGCCACTGACTTCCGCCCCGGCCTTTTGTAGGAAACAGAAGGCTGAGAGAGAGGCCTGGACAGCTTTTTGCTTCTCCGGGGCAGTGGGAAAGTGCCACGCGGGCCACCTCCCTGCCTGAGAACCTGGCACTGGAAGCGACGAGGCGCTGGCGAGCCCGTTGTCCGTGTCGGGGAGAGGCAGGGAGCAGGGAAAGGCTGGAAGGAGCCTTGGCTTTGCGCCCCTGTCCTTACCGCTGTCACCCTTGCGGGGTGGGACTGGCTTTCCCCCCTGCTCGGGGCTAGGGCAGGTGAAACGTGGGCAGGAACGGGGCACATCTAACCTTGCTGTCTGGAAACGAGGAGACCGGGGTCCCAACCTCGCCCTTGAGCACCTGGAGTGCTGCGGGCCCCCACCCATGGTTTTTAAAACCTAGACCCAATGCCTTCAGTTTGGAGGGCTGGGGAGCGCTGTGTCCAAGTCTCCTCTGCCACAGACTTCCCAGAGGTCCTTGGGTGTGTCACATAGCCCCTCCATGCCTCAGTTTTCTGACTTGTAGGAGGAGGATCAAGACTGAGAGATGATGGCTGTGGCAGGGCAGGGCAGGGCAGTGCCTGGGGGGCTTGGAGCTGGTGGGAAGTTCGTCAGAGCTGGTTGGTTTTTGGTTTGTTGCCCCGGTGTCCTTCTGAAGGACGCCAAGGGCAGGTGGGAAGCCCCAGCCCTGCTGACGCACCTGGCTGGGATCGTGTCTGGGAGGCGGCAGCTGGAACAGCCCTGCCTTGTGGGCTGCCGGCTTTGTTGAGGTGGGATCGATTGCGAAGCAGGAAGTCTGGGCCGCTCCCACCGCCTTGCTCGCGGGAGGCAGGTCCGAGGCCAGGCGCTCGGGGAGTGGAAACAAGGCGCTGCCCTGTCGAGCTGCGGGGTAGAGCACACAGGGCCGGGGAGGAAGAACAGCAAGCAACCAGGACTTTGCACCCTCCAGGAAAGGGTGCTGGAGGCTGGTCCGCGTGATCGGCCGCACGTGCCAGGGGGAGACTTGGATCCAGCCGTGTGTCGGGCAGCACCCCCAGTCGGGGTGCCCTCCTAGCCATGAGTGCTGCAGAGGTGAGGTCTTGACACCGGGCCGTGCTCGCTCCTGGGGGCAGGTGCATGGACTGCAACCTCCGTCTCCAAAGACTTCAGGGGTCTGTTGTGCCTGGAGGGGCTCCTCTTGGCCCTGCAGCCTTCCCTGGGGAGGAGCGGGGACTGGGTGTCTGGCCCCGTCGGTGCTTGGTGCCTGTTGGGGAGGCTGTCATGGGCTTTTGGGGTATGCTGTAGGCTCGGGGCAGGGCATGGCTGTCCTGGGCAGGGGTCTGTGGTTGATGCACTGGAGGCCGAGCCTATATTGCAATAGCCGCACGGCGCAGGGTGCTGCAAAACCACATGGCAAGACGGGCCTGGTCTGGCCAGCCCCCGTAGAGCCGCTGTGTTCCCGCAAGCTGGGCTGGGCCAGGCTGGACCCAGCGTCCTGGAGGCAGAGACTCTGTATCTGCAATCCAGGAAGGACCAGCCTATTGCTGAGTTCGGGATGTCCCGTTCCCCCAGGGCCGGGTGGGTGGGCACCACAGGCACAGAAGGATGGAGGAGATGAGTCCCCGGAGGTGTCTGGGGAAGCTGGAGACCAGCAGCCTCCAGGGACGGAGCATGCACGTGATCTCCAAGGGCCCGGGTGGAACCCAGCTCGGGGTCCAGGAGCCGGGGCTGTCGTCCTCTTGCACCGCAAACAACCCCCACCCTTTGCCCCAGCATCTTCCCCAGCCCCTTGCACCTCGGGGCTGACCTGCTCAGGAAAGACTTGGGGGCAGGGGCTGCACTCTGGGCACAGGGTGGCATGGGCAGCCCTGGGAAGGCAGTGCAGGGAGCCCAGCTTTCCCCCCCAGGTGCCTGAGGATGGGGGTGAAAACCACCCCGTTGGGAAGCCGGGGGTGCCTGAGCAATGCTGCCTCATGGCTTGTCCCCATGTCTGCACCTGTGCCCCCTCCAGAGCTGCTGCCTCAGCAGGAGCTGGACCACAGCTGTACGTCGAGGTGCCCCGCGCTCTTGCTGGGGAGACGGGTGGCTTCTGCAGATGCAGCTGTTCTGCCTGCCAGTGTCTCGTCATGCAGAGGTGCAGTGCCCTCACTTCCAGGGATGCAAACGGCAGCGGGGGGGCACGTCCCTGCCAGCTGGAGGGGCAGAGCGGGGCCTGAGGTTGCAGGTCAGTCCTGCCCGAGTTGGCAGCTCGGCCCCTTTGCACGTGGGCTGGCCTCCAGCACGAGCGACCAGGGATCGATGGCTTCCAAGTCTCCCGAATAAAGAGCTGGGCACCTGCCCTGCTGACCCCTGCCTGGAAATGCTATAGGGCCAGTGTGGCCTCCGGACGTGGCTAGTCCGTGTCCAAGGTGGTGGCAGGGCCCTGCTGCCCCTGGGCTCGTTCCCTCCTGCCGGAGGCAACCGGGACGTTCTCCGTGGCTCGCGGCGCCTCTCGGTGCCGTGCCCCGCTCCCCAAATGCGCGCTTCCTGCCATCTGTTTCCAATTTCTCCTGGCATCTGCTCCTCGCTGCTTTCTGCAATGGATAAAAATCCCAAGCATTTTCCCCAGGGGGCTTCATGGGGTTTGGATGCGGCCCCTGGGCCTTGCCTTGCTGGTGGGGGAGAGCGGTCCCATGCCTGCACAGCAGACTCCTGCCAGCATCCTCCTCTCCGGCCAGCTCGTCCTTCGCCAGGACAGTCCCAGACCTGCCTCTGAGCCAGCAGCCTTGAGTTGCTGAGAGCTGGGACCCCCATTGCTGCAGCCCCCTGCCTCCCACTGGGATCCCCAGTGCCCTCCAGCACCTGACAGCCTGGTTGTCTGTGGGGAGCGTGGGGTTTCCTCCACATCCTGCCGACAGCGCGCTATTGTTCAGGGCAGGAAGCAAAGGAGAAACCTGCCTCCCAGGGAAGCCAGGCAAGGGCACCTGAAGGATCTTGGTAGGCAGGACCCAGCCCCGTAGGTGGGCTCAGCCGCGGTGCGCAGCCCCTGGGACGGGGGCTGTATCTCCCCGCACAGCTGTGCACAGATAGCAGTAGACTTCCCCACTCCCGATGCAAGGCGGAGAGGTCCCCACGGGGCCGGCGCGTCCCCCTTCTCCATGGAGCCGAGCCCAAATTCTGCAGGGTGGGGGGTACGTGGTGGTACCCGGGGCTGGGCCTGGGTCCCAGGGCTCTGGGGCAGGATCGTGTCCCAGTTTGGGGCCTCTCGATGCGGGGTGGATGGGGCAGGAGCTGGGAGCGAGTGCATTCGAGGCTTCCCAGCCGTCCCCCTGGGACGCGGCAGGAAGCTGCCGGCCAGACGCCCCTGGGCAGCCTCCGTCTGCAAAGTGGAGGCTGTTGTGTGTGGGGGTCTTGCAGGAGGGAGGGCAGAGCGGGGCTGGAGCCACCCCCTCCGGGATCCCAGCCCTGCCTCCGTGCTGGTTTGGATGCCCTGGTTGGAGTGGGGCGTCCTAACCACGTTCCTCTGCTCTCTCCACGCTCCAGGTGCAGCCCAAATCCCGGTGCCCAGTTGCAAGGGGGTCCCAGGCGGAGAGTGCGGCGCGGCGCAGCGCCCGCCACCCCCCAGGGAAGATGCCTATCCTGAAGCAGCTCGTGTCGAACTCGGCCCACTCCAAGCGCCGCTCGCGCGCGGACCTGACGGCCGAGATGATCAGCGCGCCGCTGGGTGACTTCCGCCACACCATGCACGTCGGCAGGGCTGGGGACGCCTTCGGCGACACCTCCTTCCTCAACAGCAAGGCCGGGGAGCCCGAGCCCCCCGAGGAGCCGGGCGCCTCCAAGCCGGGCCTGCTGTCCCGCCGCTTCCGCAGCAGCAAGCGGTCGCAGTCGGTGACGCGCACGGACCGGCGGGACATGCTGGGCTCGCTGCGGGACTCGGCGCTGTTCGTGAAGAACGCCGTGTCCCTGCCGCAGCTCAACGAGAAGGAGGCCGACAAGAGCGCCGGGAAGCTGCCCAAAAGCCTCTCGTCCAGCCCGGTCAAGAAGCCCCCCGAGGAGAAGCAGCACCCCAACGGGGCAGCCGCCCGGCCCCAGAGCCCCGGGCTGGACGAGCGGGACTTCGGGGACATCACCGAGCTGCCCGTCGTGGTGTCCAAGAACAGCACGGGCATGAAGCATGCCGAGTCCATCCTGTCCTTCCACATCGACCTGGGGCCCTCCATGCTGGGCGACGTCCTGAGCATCATGGACAAGGATCCGTGGGAGCAGGAGGAAGACTCCGGCGCCGAGGAGCCCCCCTGGGGCACGGGCTCCCCCCAGGCCCTCCGGCTCGGCCAGGAAGGGAAAGCCCTGCCGGATTCCCCGCTGGCGGCACCGGCTCGCCAGCACGAGAGCAGGGCCGCGGCTTGCAGCCCCGGTTTGTCCAGCAGCCACGTCAGCAGGGACAGCAGCTCGGTTTCCAGCTGCGCTTCGGGGGCGCTGGAGGAAGGCAGCCCGGTCCCTGGCGCCCGCAGCCCGCGGGTCCCCGAGGGCGCCCGGGCTGGGCCCCCGAAACGGCCCGACAGGGAGTTCTCGTTCATGGATGAGGAGGACGACGAGATCCGCGTGTGAAGCAGGCGGCTGGCTTGGGGCGGGGGGGACGGGTCTGGCTTGGGTGCGCACCCGCTCGAACCCGAGAAGGGATAACCTAAAACGGACCGTATAGGAACAAGCCGCAGCGGGAAAAACTCGACTCCTCCAGCCCTCTTTCCTTCCCCGCCGTCTCCTCTCCCACATGCCCCTGTCCCCACGGACATGCTGGACCTGGCGGCCGCGAGGAGGGGACGGAGCCGTTCCCGGGGGCAAGCAAGGACGGAGGATCTTCTCCGAGTGCCTCGTTCTGCCGAGCTGTGAGGGTCCTCTCGCCGCTCTGGAGAAGACTGCTGTCCTCTCCCAAGAAGCGACCTCTGGCACGTCCATCCAGGGGCGAAGACTTTATTTTCTTTTCCTTTTTAACTGGACTTTCATATGAACTGGATCTACTGCCCGCGTAAAGCAATAGTCGAAGGACCAAGCTGTAACGTTGCAGGCCCCGTTAGTCGTGTGTGGGTATAATTTCCCCCTCTCTGTTTTTATTGATCTCTGGTTTGTATTTGTCATGTTCGTTTTTTTTCCCCCCCCTTTTTATAACCGGGGAGGAGAGTGCAGATGGCACAAACGGGGCATGGGAAGCCATGGGGGTACGCAGGACTGTCAAAAACCCCAGGGCCTGAGGCTTCATTTGGCCAGCACCCCAGGACCCCTCACCACTTGCAGCAGGGGATGGGGCTGGGGGCTCTGACTCTCTTTTTATCGTTGCTTGTGGCTGTCGGGATCCCGGCACGTCTCGCCCTGTGGCTACAGGGGCAGGTCTGAGACGGGAACCCCGGTAGTCTGGGTGAAGAGGTGCACACATGCCTGGTTTCTTGCTGCCCCCAACACCCCTGCAGCAGTCAAACCCTCCCACCCCTGGTCCCTTTGTGCCTCGGGCCGTGCCTGCTACCTGCGTTCTCGGAGGCAGCTGCACCGCGCGGGGCCGGACCCGGCGGGAAAGGAGCAGGGATGATGATAGTGGGGGGGAAATAAGGGCTCTGGCTCTTAAGTTTTTTAAAGCACAAGGGGGTGAGTCTGTCTTGCAAGCAATGGGAGCCTGGCATGCCGGGGTACAGGGACTGGGGGTGCCCTGCTCCACCCTCCCTGGGCAAAGCCCAACCCTTCTGCCATGTGGCTGTGACCTTGGCACCCAGACCAGGAAGGCGAGCACCTGCCCCAGGGCAACAACGAACACTAACGAGCCTTTCTATTTAATTGTTTCTTTCTCAAACACTATGCTGGATCCTTGCCTCCGTGCCCCCTACTTCAAGGACTGAGGCAGGCACTGGTGGGCAGGAGAAGGGGCCCGCGCCCAGGGACTTCCTTGTTTGTTTTTTACCATGTAGGTCGAACGGAAAGAATAAAACTCAATGGTAGTGACGGCCGTGCTCCGCGTTCCTGCTGGCAGCGGGAAGGGAAGGGAAGGCAAGGGTGCTCCTACTCTCCGTAGGGCTCAGCTGCCTCTGCTCTACCCCTGGGGTGGTCTGAATCCAGCCCCCTGCTCCATCAGCCCGTCTCCTGATGCACGGGGTCGGGTCGTGCGGGCGATGCCGACTGCCTCCAGTGCTGGGGGGTGTTCATGCAAGCTGGACAGGGCCAAGGGAGCTGGGGTCTTGCCTGGAGGGGCTCTTGGGAGCGGGGAACATGAGGGCCCATGGGGTCATGCCTCTGGGGAGGGGGGATTGGGGTTTCTCCAGGCCAATTTCCTTTTGCCTGCAGCTGTGGGTGTGTGGCGGGGAAGTGAAGCGTGTGGAAATCTAGCTGTGCAATTTCCGAAGCCCAGCTGCCCCAGGTCCCTGCCCAGTCGATGCTGCCTGGGAAGGGCTCAACTTCCCTAGGCAGCTTCCTGCCCTGCAAGTCAGAGCCCTCAGGCCTGTGAGCTGGCAGACTGACACCACGGCAGCCGGAGCTGGAAAGCCCCTGGGCTGGGCTGGGCTGGATGGGGCCTGGCTTCCCCTGGGTAGGGCCAGAGGGAGCAGCTGGGTGGGGGGTAACTCTGACCCTAGGCAAGTGGCTGCACCGTGCATGCAGAATTGCACCCGGCGCCCCCCTTCCCGGGCTGCCAGGGGCATTGCTGAGAGCAGCTCAGCTTGCATCGCACCTGGCACCCGTGGCGCTGGCCTCCGGCATCGTGCTGCTCTCTGGAGATGGAGGGGGCATCGCTCCAGCCCTGGCCTGATGTCTGCTGAGGGGCATTGCTTTACCTGCAGCTGCCGCTTCTCCGGCCGTGGCGGCCGTCCCCTCCTAGAGCGCTGCGCTGGCCGGCCGTGTGCTGGACCTTGGTGCATAAAGGGGCTCTTTCAGCAAAGCCTGGGCTCTGCACAAGGCTGTGCCTGTGCTCCGGGCTCGGTGCCCTGCTCCCGGCCCTCAGCCCACCCGGGCTGTTTATCAGCCTCGCGTGCTGTGGCCACAGCTTATCTGTCCATCGGCATTTGTGCCTCAGTGCCCATCGGGGGCGGGGGAGAGCTGGGTCTGGGTGGTGACCGGCACCGCTGGTCTGACCGGTTCCTCCAAGCGCTCCTGGCCCAGGCCTGGTGGAGGTAGGAGGGGGGACGGGACTGGGCCCTCTTGCACCTACTTCTGTGGGTCTGTGCAATGAGAGACTCCATCTCCATCGCTCTCCGGCTTGAGGGAGGCCTGGCTGGGAGGAGGGCTGCAGCTGCACCGGTGCTGTCCCCTCCAGGGACTCCCTGCTGACCTGGGAATAGCATCCCTGGCTACTGTCCAGTTAGGCGCTTCCCGCTCGCACGGCCTCCTATTCCCCGCGGGAGCCGGAAACCTTTGGCCTCGGTTCTGCGGCCAGCAACACCGCCAACTTGGTGCATGCGCATCTCGGGTATGAGCGGAGACCCCCCGAACTCAGTCCCTGCCCATCACCCAGGGATGTCCCAGGGGACAGCCCCTGCACACAGGGCAAGCCCGGGGCCTGGCCGGGTGAGTGTGGACGTGGTGCATGGGAAGCAGGGCCAGGCCTGCCCTGCTGGGTGCCAGGCCGGTAAGCCCCCGGGCACAATGCCGGATCTGTGAGGGCCCAGCGGGCAGCGTGGGCAGGACATTGGCCTATTGTTGCGGGGAAGAAAGATCAACAGCAGCTGGCTGGCCTGGCTCCACGGCAGGTTCACCCTTTGTGGTCCTTTAGCAAGCCTCGGACACCAGTGCAGCCACTGGGCTGGGGGACGCAGCAGCGTGGGCTGGCATCAGCTGGCCCGTGCACCCCGTCCATCCATGCATCCTCGGCCGTGTGCAGGGGGAGAGGGCTCCTAGCCACTACAGGCATGCTAAACCTGATGGCTGCCGCGTGGCATAGGAGGGAGGGTGGATGTGCTGCTTGGGGCACAGGGAGAGCCAGCCACGTGATGCCCTCGCCCATCAAGCAGCCGTCGGCTCCTTTGCTGACGCCTGTCAGCTCCAGCCCGGCCGGCCGAGAGCGCCCGCCTGCCTCGAACCGACGGGGCAGAAACGCGCTGTGGCTCTCCGAGCGGGAGGCGACGAAGGCCCTGCTTTTGGCAACGGTGGAGGGGCAGCGGAGATGCCCACGCCACCGAGTCTCACCCAGCAGCAGGGTTGTAGGGGCATTCATCCACGTGCTGGGATGGTGGCACTGCCTCGGTCACCCTGCGGCCGGCTGGGCAGGGGTCAAAGCTACATGCTTGCTGCTAGCCGGGCGTCTGGGCAGGGAGCAGGGCTGGCATCGAGCTGGGCATTGCTCCCCGGGCCCCCGGTGCATTGGATCTGAGAGCCAGAGTCTGCTCTGAGCCAGGCTACAACATGCCCAGTCCACCGCAGGGCTCGGCCATTTCCAAAGCGGGTCCCCCGCCAGGGCTGGGCAGGTTCTCCCTTCACCCTCCATGCGATGCAGACCTGGGTGGCTCCGGGGCTGCAAACGACCTTCCCGCAGTAAAAGGATTCCCGCACCCCAAGCCAGCCAGGCCTGAAGGAGCCCGTGGGTCCCTGTGCAGGGAGCAGGGCTGGGGCTAGCAGGCCCCCAGCATCCCTCCAGCTGGGCTGCAGCGCTGGCAATCAGGCCTGCAAATTGGGAGCAGATGCTGGGCTCCTGCTCTCTGCACTGGGGCTGGCTGCTCCCGGAGCAGGGGCTAGGAGCCTGGCCTGGCTCGGCTCCTTTCCAGGGCCAGCCTGGGTTGTGGGGTCCTGGGAAGGGCTCGGGAGGGGTGGGGGATGCTGGGGGAGCCGGTCACTGCCTCTCTGCACCATTACTGGTACCTGGCTCTGTCTCATCCCTCCATCAGCTGGGGCAGAGGGGAAGGTCCCAGGCTGGGGAGATGCAGGAACTCGTGGCCAGGGTGGAGAAGCTCACGTTCAAGTTGGAGATGGATGTGATGCAGCAGAGAGGGGCCCTGCCGCTGCCCTTCCCGGGCATGGACAGTAAGTCGCGGGCTCGGTTGGGGACCTGAACTGCCTGGACCTCAGCTGCTGGCAGCCTTTCTTGTGCACGGAGGGGGCTCCGTCTCTCCGGGGGCGCAGCTGCTTGCTTGGCTCTGCCAAACCCAGCCCGTCTGAGTGCTGAGACAGCAGCTCCACGGCTGCCCCAGGGGCTGGGGAGCTGGGTCAGTGCAGGTCCTGGTCTAAGTTAGACTTACTGGGGGGTGCAAGCAGGAGACGCCAGTGCACCAGCTGGAGTCTCACCCTGTGCTTCCAGGGGCAAACTTTCCACCGGAGTAACCCCAGGGAGGGGGTCCGTGCCATCTGCCCGCTACTGCGTTTGCACTGGGGTAATACCAGTGGGCCTCTTGCTTGCCTGTGCCCTGCAAGCCGGGGCTTCCCCATCCCACGAGCAGCCGGGGGTGTCCATGGGATGCAGCCAGTGCCCCCATAACCTCCTCTCTCCCCGCAGAGTCGGGGGCAGCCGTGTGCGAGTTCTTCCTCCACGGACTGTGCGGAAAGGGTGAGTAGCCCCGGGCCCATGTGCAGGATGGGGGGGCTACTAGCCATGCCCTGCAGGGGTCACAAGCTGAGCTCACAGGCAGGTCCCCTAAGCTTGCATGATTCCTGAGCCCTGAGTTCGGCGTGGATTTGGGTGACCCCAGCTGCAGCCTGGATGCCACCCAGGCCTGGCAGCACGGCCGGGGCATTGGCCCTGGCTCAAGCAGGCGTCCCCCCCGAGCCAGGCCTGACGTGCCCCTTCCGGCACGTGTGCGGGGAGAAGTCGGTGGTGTGCAAGCATTGGCTGCGGGGACTCTGCAAGAAGGGGGACCACTGCGAGTTCCTGCACGAGTACGACGTCACCAAGATGCCCGAGTGCTACTTCTACTCCAAGTTCGGTGCGTGCCGGCGGCCGGCAATGGGGGCGGTGCTGGGACCCTGGTTTGGCTCTGCTGGGAATAGGGGGCATCTGCTGTGCGGTGGTAATGGGCAGGGGGGGCTTTGCTCAAGCCCACCCCTCTTTGGAGCCCCCCTCCGAGTGCTGCTGGTTGCAACGGGCCTGGGAACGGGCAGCGGGCGCCACCTGCTGTCCCCCTCCCCGGAGAGGGCTGGCAGCCTGGGTCCAGCCGTCCTGGCCCGAAAGCCCCCGGAGAAGGCCCTGCGCTTCCATGGGGCTGCCCTTCAGTTTGCATGGAGGGAAGCCCCTTCCCTTGGGGAGGGTGGGGACCGGTGCAATGCATCTCCTGACCCCGGGAATATCCCAACCCCACTCCCAGGTGAGTGCAGCAACAAGGAGTGCCCCTTCCTGCACCTCGACTCGGCTTCCAGGGCGAAGGACTGTCCTTGGTACGACGAGGGGTTCTGCAAACACGGTGAATACCTCGCGCTCAGTGAAGTCCACCCGGGGGGCAGCGAGAGGAGCAGTGAGGCAGGACTCCTGGTTACTCTGCTTGGCTATGCCATAGAGTGGTGTTGGGGGGGGGGGCTCAGTTTCCCTCTGTAAAATGGGTATAATACTTGCCTTGGGGTGCCCTTGGAGCCTATTTGGGGTTATTGGGTGGGGGGAGGGAATGGGGAGGCAGCCAGGCTGCAAACCCCACGATCAGTCTCTCCACTGTTTGATATCAGTGCCCGCCACTGCCCCAAGCCTAGTTCTCGCTGGGCTCTGCTGACTGCCGTCTCTCCCTCTGGCTGTGTGTGTGTGGCAGGTCCCTTGTGCCGATACAAGCACACCCGGAGGGTCGTGTGCACCAACTACCTGGCTGGCTTCTGCCCCAATGGCCCTCGGTGCAAATTCGTGCAGTACGTATCCGCGCAGGCAGCCACGACGCCCGGCAAGCCTCTCGCGGGCTGCGCCGCTGTGGCATCGCCCTCCACTGAGGCCTGTGCATGCGGGGTGGGTTTGTGCTGCTCTGTCTTTGGGGTCCAGGCTGGCATGGACCATCACCTCTGCAGCTGCTGCTTCCCCTCCCATGTGTCCCTTGCTCCAGCCAGAGCTGGTCAGAGCCCCTTGCCAGTCTCCAGATGCCTGGACAAGGGCTCGCAGGCACATGGCCACATGCAAGGAGTGAACTGGCCTTTCTTTCTGCTCTAGCCCCAAGGCCAACTTGATGCTGGACAGCTTGGAGCGCTCCAAGGTAAGGCCTGGAAAGGGGCTGCGATGCTACTGCCCCGTGCCAGGCCCATGGGCACAGCTAGGGAGAGCGAGAGAAACCCAGGCATGCCCAGCGAGCACCCCTGTGCTGGGCACTGCTGTGTCAACGGGCCACGTTGCTCGGTGCCGCTCTATGGCCACGTGCTGCATCTTCATTGGGGTTTCCTGTAGGCACAGGGTGGTTCTCCAATTTTGGAGGAGTCACCACCCTCTGCTTTGAAGCTTGCAGACAGCTTGCAGCAGGGCACCTGGTTCAGGATGGGCACGTTGTGCGCTGCCGTCCAGGTGGGCAATGGAGATCCCCAGGCCCCGCCAGTCAGGGGGTTTAACAACAGCGCCTCTTTGATGGCATTTGTCCTTTAGGGGCTGGAGTCTCTGGATTGACACTTTCAAGCAGCCTTGGTCCTATTTGTAATGGAAGTTGAGAGCTCCTGGGTAGGAACATGGCAGCGGGGGATTGAAATCATGACCTGCCTCTGATGCTGTCCCCCACCTGGGGTGACTGACTGATTTCCCCCCTTGCACAGGGGCTTCCCATGACAACAGATGGAGTTGGTGGTCGCAAGCCGTCCCTCCCAGAAGCCCAGCTGTTCCCTTGCCCTTCCCGGGGCAGCAGTGCCCAGCACCCAGCCAAGAAAGCACCAGGGACCAGCGGCTACCCCTATGGATCCCTGCGGCCCCTCGAGCAAGTGACGTGCTTCAAGGTGAGCGCTGGTGGCAAGGGACAGGCTTGGATGGGGATCGGGGTGGACTTCAAGTCCTCAGAGCAGAGACAGCCAAGTCCTGGACTCAGAAGCCATGCACACTTTTGAGGGGCCAATGCACATTAAGCCGTCGTGGCCTTGCTGCCTTACCTACAGGCTGGATCCATGCTCGACTGTAAATTCAAAGCTCTTGGGTCAACTGGTTCTTCGGGAATTGGTGCAAATACTTCTGGCCAGCAAATGCACCTCGTTCCCTCTGGGCTCGTTAATAATTTTCACATCCAGCCCCGAGAACCAGGAGGATGGGCAAGGGAGGAGGCAGGGCAGAGGTGCAGGGCTGGAGGTGGTATCGTGGGGGTGACTTTGGGTATGGGCTTTCTCCAGCCCAGCGCACCCAGTCTGTCCCTTGCAATTGGACCCATCCTTGCTAGGTGATCAGCTCTTGTCATGCTGCAAGAACCAATTTGTGCAAAATGGCTTCAGCTGCCAACAGGACTAGACCAGGAGAGAGGGTCAGAAACTCCATCTGGCCACATAGCTCAGCTCCACATCCAGGGCGCAGGGGATGTGCATGTGGGAGGCAAACTGGATGCTTCCTGGCTGTTGTTCACAGGTGCTGCCCAGAGGGGAGTCAGGGTTATTCTCTGCGCTTCCCTTCCAGTGTGGGGAGAAGGGTCACTACGCCAATAAATGCGGCAAGGGTCGTCTGGGGATGCTGCTGGGGAAGTGACTGGTGAGCCTTGTTGGAGGAGAAACCAGAGGAAGATGCCAGGCTGCGACAGGCGGTATCATCTGGAAGCCCATCAGAATTTAACTGGGGAACCCAGCCAGGGAAACCCGGCTCGGGGCAACTTTCTTTGTCAGCTCCTTGTAAAGCAAGAGGAGGGGAGGAATGCAGCTTCAGTGGTGTCGATGGTAACCGCAGTTTCCACTGGCTTTGCAAATGTCATGCCATCTCCTGCGTCTGATTGATGGCTTGGCTTTTTAGACTGTGCATCAGATGTGTAATCATGCCAGGACTAAAGTATGGGGTGAGCGCAGTCAGTGTCTGGAGCTGGGTTAATGTGTGTGTGGGGGGGGGGGGGGGGGGGGTTTC